ATTGCCTTTTTATATCAAGTCCTTCTTTTGCTGTATCGAGATGTTTATACAGTTGTCATCATGCTCTGAAAGTCACTGTGCACATTATTAATTCTTTATAGTTATCATGTAGGAGTAAAAAAATATTTTCCTGTCCTTTGTCATTTTTATTAAAGTGAAGTTCTCTCCTCTTTGTTTTATGCACACTCCAGAAAAGCTTGCTACTTGGTGCTGCTGGTTCGAGTTTCTCAGATTCACAGTTTTTTGCTCTATGTCTCTCACTGAGTAGACTTTGTCATAGCAGTTCTGACACTTCGTCATGGGTGACGATACAGAGCCATGCCCTGTTATCATCACCCACATGCTACTGAGATGGTAATTTCCTGACACCAAACTGCACGTTCTCATGGTGACAAAACATCCTCCCCCAAGAGAGTGCACATGTGAATGGCAGATGATGGGAATGACAGGGATATTACCCTCTACATCATTAGGTTAGAAAATTGATGAGGCATTTGCACAGTAAGCAAAATATCCGCTTAGATGCTGTTTAATTATAAAAATTTAAAACTTTTCATCTGTTCTCACGAGTCTGACAAATTACAATGCTGGTTGTATACATGGGGAACAGTCACCAAAAAACGAAGCGGCCAGTACGAGAGCACGAGGACTTGTACTTAGACCTGCTAGACAGCTGCTGGCCCTGTGGGTCTGTCCTTTTGCTCAGCTCCCAAAGACGAATGACTCTTAAGGATGACCATTATGGGGTATCCCAGCAAATCTCAGCTGCAGAAATGCCAGATAATACCCGATACAGCCTCAGAAAGCAGTTTAGAAGGAACAGCAGCCCTTCTGTTCCCGGTAGGTGTTTCCTCCCAAAGCCACCATCAGTGACAATGTCCCTTCAAAAGGCTGGCAGTGCAGCTGCAGGCAGAGAGGACCGCACGGTCCTGCTTGGGTGCAAAAGCCAAGGCTCACCTCGAGTCTGATGGCCCACGGACCCAGTTTGTTTGCAGAAACAAATTTATCTGGAAAAATAAAAAACGTGGCTTCTCCCTTGCTCAAAACAGACTATGATTTTCTCTGACATTTTTTGATCAGTGGCATTTGACAATACCTCATGTGCATCTTGTTGCCTGTGTGAGCTGGATTTCAGCGGCTTTCTGCTCTGTTTGAGCAGGGTTAGTTGTTATTAGGGAGCTTTGCCACAGGATGCTCTTTCTCTTATCTAGAAAATGGGGACCGTGCCTATGCAGGATTTTTTTGCCATCAATTCATCGGCAGTTAATTCTATGTGTTTTATATGAGTGTAAATTCAGCGTAGAGCACACGGCACAAGGCTCCTTCACAAACACATCTGCCCTGGACCGCTGCTTCAGAAACCCGCATCAGGGAGGCAGAGGGATGTATGGAATTTGGGCTGCCCTGTTTTGGTTTTCCCTGCCATAGAGCAGGGAGATTCCCCGTGGCCTTTTCCATCCCCCTCTGCACAGGCTGCTCAGCAGAGGGTTTAAAAAGCCCAGCCCAGATGTAGCATCCAGCCCCAGATCCATCACTGGGAGTGTTGTTCCTGGGCACGTCCCCAGCAGCAGACCAGGGCACAGGGGCACGACAGAGGCTGCCAGTATCCGCCCTCCCCAAAGAGCTATCGCAGAAGCACCACGTCACTGCACGTCGTAACATCCTCATGGCCAAGGAAGACTTTAAATCCCCTCAACTTTGCATTTTCTCAGTCCCATTTCCAGGATTTTCACATAAACTGAATATTTATTTGAAAACAGGCCCCACTGCACGCACACCTCTCTGAAAGGCTGGGGAGAAAAGGTTGCCAGCTGAGGAAATCTCTAAAACAAGTGAAAACATGTATCTGTAGTAGTTCTGAAAGCAATATTTAACACAACTGCAAAGGGCTGCATGGCAAAATGTGGCCTGTCCTGCTAAAGAGCATGTTGTGAAATGGGTGCAGCCCCAAACCAGCTTCCCTGTAAATTTGTGTGATTTTGCAGTGACAAAAATTATGCAAGGAGAAAGCAAGCCTCTGTTTTACTTTGTGTCAGGTCGGGTGGCATAACCCATGAATACTGGCATGCAAATATACCGAAAAGAGCTGCTGTGTTGAGGTAGGGCGGCAGCGGGCTGCGAGGAGCAGAGTGACTTGGTTTTATCATGGAAATCACGGCTGCAGTTCCTCATCAAAGCTGAAACTTGGCCACCCTCCTTTTCATTCAGTCCATCTCCTTCCAAAAGCTTCCTCTCTACAGCGGCAGAAGTATTTATAGTCTTGCTTGAGGAAATTGCAATAGTACGCACTGAAGACCCCCAAAGCCTGCCTCTCTGCCAATATAAACAACGCTGGGGAAAAAATACATTCTTTATCTAAATCTGATGCATTGCATTTGTGTTGTTTGCTTTTCCTCTACCAGACAGGAGGTAGTGAAGATTGGTATGTGTCCCAAAAGCTATAAAGCCTTTGAAAGCCCAGGTGCTACCTTTGGTGGCTGCGCTTGGCCATCCCGCTCGCCTCGCATCCTCAGCATCACACCCACCAACTGCGTTTTGGGCTCGGAAGGGCTCCTGCACGGACACAGATAGCAAACACTTTCAAGCAAAAGCATTACCACATAAACTTTCGTGCTAAGGTATGCAAGTCCAGCCAGCCAGAGGATAACTGCCCATCTGACAGATGCTGGGAAGGGCTCCAAGTCAAACAGCATCAAAAAACATCCGTTCTCAGACTGCTTACGCCTTGGACTGCTCTTCGGTCTATCTGATCCATCATGTCCTGTCAGTCTGAAAATAGAAGAGAAAGGAAAAAGAAACCCAGCCGTGATATTAGAGAATTTGTAAATTGTTTGCTCTATACGTGAAGGGCAGTGGCTTGAGGTTGCTCTGCGGTCGTGGTGTAAAGCCCATGGTGATGCCCTTGGTTGCTGGGCTTTTCTTGTGCTCGAAAATTCCTTTTTGCATGCAAGGTTTGGGAACGCTTTTCCAGCTCCCAAAACCTCGCGTGCTTCCAGCTGAGGTCAGTGCCAGTGAATGCTGATCACAGGTGAGCATCACGGTCACAGGGCTGGCAGTAGAGGCAGCCCCAACCTTATAAACATGCTGTAAATGAAAGCACAAGGCTTCCCAATATTCACGCACTGCTTCGAATTCTCAAAGTAATTTTTAAATACAGTGATAATTTTGCAATAAGAGAAAAAAAAAGCGGGTTTCTTTCCCTTTCCGAGAGACTTTATTTGGTCTTTATTTTAAGGGAATTGATTGAAGGAAAACCTATTCACGCATTGCTTCGAATTCTGAAAGTAATTTTTAAATACGGTGATAATTTTGCAATAAGAGAAAAAAAACAGGTTTCTTTCCCTTTCCGAGAGACTTTATTTGGTCTTTATTTTAAGGGAATTGATTGAAGGAAAACCTATAGTGACAAACATAAGTTATTTTTCTAAGGGAAACTGAAGCCACTTTTCAGGCCACTATAGAAGATGAACAGACTGGAAAGTGGCTGAGCTGAAGGTAAGGTAGCTGAGTGTGCCTGTACTTCTGCTTCCATGCCAATTACTGTCATTACGGTTATTGAACTCTATACTGTACACGATGTATTTTTAATTACATTTTAGATTATTCTTGGGCAACATGCCGTAGCGCGGATCATCGGGGGGGACAGAAGCTTTTGTGTCTCTCCCTCTTCTCCTTCCTTGTCTTTGGCTTGGGCAGAGTGGCCCATCTTGTATTTCAAGTAGGCTCCGTAAGGATGGCACTTATGCACAGGCATGGCAGAAAAGGTGTTTTAGCTCTTACTACCTGGGGTACAGATGATGCAGTGTTACCGGCCAATGACACGCTAATAGTCTGTAAGTAAATTTTGCCACAAGATGGTAAAAACGTTGATATCCTCAGTGGGTAACATGATGACAAGACCCTGACGGTTCCTGAGGGAGCAGGACAGACACCGGGTCCCTGGGGGCTGAGCTGTGAGTTACTCTGGCCTTTGCAGTCCAGATGTCAAAATAAATTGTGTCATTTTAGAAATGCAAAAGTGATAGAAAATATCACATTCCCAACCGGTCAGTGCTGTGAGATTTACAGGATGTAAGTAACTCTGGGTTTGCTGTAAGGGTTTTTTTTTTTTTACAGAATGATTGCTAATGTTAAATGACTTTTGAAATATCCCTGAAGAGAGAACCAGAAAAGATAATGAGGATGTAACAGGGAATGACCTCTGCAAAACGCAGGGTTAGGTTATTGCTCGAACACTGGCTAAGGGAGGGCTGATAATAAATGCATCCCTTTCCCGAGGGAAGAAGCAGTTGTCTTGGGAGGGTGAGGAAGGGAAGGGTCACATCTGGGAGACAAAGCCCTGGGACTCACCAACCCCTTCTCAGCAAAAAGTTGCATTTCTGGGCTGGAATGACCTATGAGAGGTTGGCAGTCGTTCCCGTGGGATGGCACCGGGTCCCTCAGCCCCACATGGACATCCCACTTCTGGCTCTTAATTCCTTCTCCATAGGGCTGCTGCTGCAATGAAGCAAGCTATTGCAGTTAATGGAGAGCGATATCCTCGAAATGTTCCTATCCA